CTCTTCAGTTCGTTGACTCGTGAAGGTCATTAAATATTTCCATGATATATGTGAATTTCTTCTACGAAGCCTTCACTTGGCTTTCGAATTATATGTTCCCAAATGATGTAACCCATGGAAACATGATGTAGTTCCAAGCGACCTCCGCGAGAGAACACATTCCTTTTCGAAACCTTTCATGAGGACTTTGCAAACGGGTGAGTTTAGCTGGGTCTGGGTGAACACACTGGGCTACAGCTTGAAGTGTTCATTAGGCTTCAAACGGGCTAATTACAAAAGCATCATCAGCGCTCATCGCGGTATACAGATGGTTTCTGCATACCCCGATGAGCGATAGGGATAGAGCTTACGTCGTTGACCAAGTCCTTCTTCGGGTTCCATTCAGAATTGTCATTGCTGCTGTTAAGCTATGAGCTACACCTTTGCAAGATGGGTTAAGGGGAAAATGATCCCAGCGGTGTAATACGCAGCATTCCGGCCCAAAAAGCGTAAGGTTCTGGTCCAAGACCCACCTGATTCAGTGTTGCCCAGCATTCCTTCATAACTTCCAGGAAACTCTTCTCGCTCGTATTCTTGCCATTTCCACCAGTTAACTGCGTTTCATAACTACATATCATTTATTTTCATTGAATGGTCACAGGTTTTAATTTTAAAGCTGTTCAAGCTCCTGATTTCAGCTGCAGTAGCTCCAGCCGGCTCGGACAACCCAGGCTACTTGGGAGATCCGGAGAGCAAACGTGAGCGCTAATTTTCATATAGAAAGAGTTTATTTACAACAGAGCCTAACACCGTTGATTACAGCGATCGTGCCCATTCCCGAACGTCCGTCAATGTTCGAACGACTGTGCGGATGCTGCAGCCGAGGCGCCTCGTCCAGTGAGGATGTTATTCGGGGCGAAGAAGAGCGACGGTTGCGAGCCAACGATCGTGTCTTTAACTCTCAATTCAAATATGCGGTACGGAAGGCCTTACAAGGAAAGCATCCCAGGTTGCCATGGTCGTTCAGAAAGAGATATATATACAAGGCTTTACAAGGAAGGCATCCCTGGTTGCCATGGCCGTTCAGAAAGAGATATACATTGCTCCTCATAATGACCTTTTCCACAGACAAATTTCCCAAAAACTTGCATCTGAAGGTGCTTTGAAAAACCTAGGGAGAACTGTGAGCACATACACTGCGTTTCATAAATATAGGTCCACCCTAATTTTTTGCTATTCCAAAGTTGCTGTGCATTTTTGGAAAATGCCGCTATTACCAATAGTTTCCCATAACGAAAAACCTTGATACTTCTGGAGAAATCTCGATTCAGAATTATTAAAATATCTTCCTTAGAACGTATTTTCACCGTTTCGCAAATATGACTACACATCACTTGTCGAGAGATTTTACTATAACGAAAAAACGTCACGAATTTTCAATAATGGGATGACCCCCCAATAATCATAAGGAACACAATAATACGTTTTGAAATGCTGGTAGCCAAATTAGCTATTACAGTAGGATCGAAATTCGTCTGGGCGCCGATGATCGACCTTTTCAGCTTTTCGGCTGTTCCATTTTGCTTTACTTTGCTGTGGAACTTTATAACAATTAAGGCCCAATGATTCTCTATTGGAATCTAATTCAGATAACATGGTGGCCACCAGATAACTGCCACATTTTTTCCTGCAATTCCATCTGGCGCGGAGGGACCGGCATGGACAGCCGCGTTATCGTGTGTGAAAATCAAGGATAGAGGGGATCCTTGTTGAAAAAATGGTAAGACTCGCTTCGAAAGAACTTCACGATACCCTGTGGAATCTTTGTGAACGGAAACAAAAGCGAGCTCTAGCTACTCAGTCGTTCAAAGGTGCCTCAAACCATAAGGGATTCACCGCCGAAATTACGTTACATTGAAACCATCTGCGATTTTCACGCGATCATCCTGTACCCTCTTTTTCTGCCATATCCACCTAGAATAAACTTTTTCCACGTCGATCTCAGACCACCTGTAGAACGAAACAAGGAGGTAGAGTCCAAGATCGCGAAGGGTCTTAACAGCCACACCATCGCTCATTAAGTTGAGCCCTTTTCCACGGAGAAATGGAGACTTGCGATCTTGTAGCGCTCAAATAATCTTGGAACGCTCTTCATCAATCCGTTGAAGATGTTATTGCTCTGCTGGCTTACTCACCACACGGTGGTTTTGCTCACGGAAGGCCGCATTTCAGTACGGACTTTGTTCGGACTCCTTGTATAATTCGAGAGAAGACACCCAATTCCTCCTAAATTTTGAAGGAAACGCAGTCTTTATTTACCTAAGCGACTCTTCTCTCCGCACTGACCAGGATTTTGCACATAGTCGCTTATGCAGTATGAGCCGGCCGACATGGGAGGAAATTCTGCTCCTCAGCTATCCCACTTCAGTAAGTGCTCTAGCTTGAGCTTGTTACTGGGAAGAGAGGCGAATAACACGAGGTATGGTAAACTCGATGTCGACTGAGCCCACATATTTCCCCGCTTCCCTGATTCCCTTCACGGATCGTGAGAAATGGAAACTTTTTATGAGTGGCCCGATATTCATGAAACGGTGAAAATTCGTTCTAAAAAAGTTAATTGGGTTACTTGAGGGGGGAACTTTGTCAGAAAAACACTATGAAGGTTTTCCGTGATGAGGAATCTAACGGTGATAGCAGCATTTCCAAAAAATGCACAGCAACTTTGGGGTAGCAAAAATTTAGGGTGGACCTATAATTATGAAACGCAGTGTATAACACGATTTTGACAGTACATCGCAACACATCACTTCGAGAAAGAAGTCTTTTTTGTTGAAATGGGGAAGCTGTGTAGGTGGGAGTATCTTATGAGGAGCAAGTGTACATGTAGTCCTAGACGTGGCTTCAAACCGTGGATCTACGAACTGGACTTCATTGAAGCGGAGGGCGGCGATCGCAGTGGCTCGGGACCTCACAATCCCCAGACAGTCGGTGCGCGATCTCCTTATCGTGGAATGGTTTGTTTTCCGGTAGTACGGTAACAACCATCAGAAGCCATTTTAGCAGTATTCCAGAACAAACGTAAGCGTAAGGCCGGATAACGATCGCTCTTCACGACGTTTTGCGTCCCGAGTGTCTTACCGTTACGCTCTTCTGCTTCACAAATCCATTTATGGGATCGTTAAGCAGATTTGGAAGGGGGATTTGAGATCAGAAGCGCATCTAAGCTTATACATGTGTTCTTGGGTGGACATGGCGACCTGGAATCCTTTCCGTGCCAAAAGAGAGGGATCCATCAAAAGTCATGAAACTAACTTTTCTTTCAGGGTAACTATATAAAAACGTCCAAGTACAATGCCATCACATTCATTCCGCAGAATTTATTCGAACAATTTCAACGGATAGCAAATTTCTATTTTTTAGTCCTTATGATATTACAGGTAAGGGAATATCTGCAATACCCACCCCTTCGCGTTTTTATAGTTTATATTTTCTGAAAAGTTAGGGTGGGTATGCTACCTGTCATACAAACAGTATGGAGTATTAATTCTCAGAATTTAAGTTTATACCTCAAATATCTTCCATATCATGGTATTCCACAGCTATTCCGCTAGTTATCGTTTTGGCATTCAGTGCTGTAAAGGACGGTTATGACGATATGGTGAGTCTTCTTCGGTTGTCTTTATTGACTCTTAATATTTGACAAATCCCCGCTGGTGCTTCTTCGTCTTCTTCTGCTTCTACTCGACCTACAGGGTAATTGTTTTTCTTCATCACCATAGGTTTCTTGGGGAAATACAACCATACCACATTAACCCACATCCAAGGTGGGAAAGCGCCTTCTGACCTAGTACAAAATAAAAGAATTGGCGCTATCGCAATATGTGGGAACATTCTATAGGGCTAGGCCGAAGAGGGGGCAGGAAGTTTTGCGAAAACGGAAATTGCTCACGCTCAATCTCTCTTTCTCACCTATGATGCCTTGGTCTCATTTTTGACAAAAAAAAAGTGGTTTTACATGATTTTGGATGTGTTGGCACCAGGAGTGAAAAATCGCTTGAGGAAACGATAACGGCTCGTCGAGGATTTCTTTCACGCTCTCCCACGCGGATGCTCACTCTCGCCACCGGCGAGCCGTCTGTGCTCTCCGCGCATGCATTCACTCTCGACACTACTCTCACACAGTAGAGAGCCATGGTCGAGGAATTCCTTGACCGTTATTCGCCCTGGTTGCCACTACAATTCCCCCGTATCTTGCGATACAAGCCCAAGACCTCTCAAAATAATAACCCAAAAACCCATTGGCAATCGTCGTTCCAAAACCTGCAGCTTAGTGCTCAGACGGACTTGACGGTTTACCCTTTAAACAGCGATGGCGCGACTCCGGTCGTTAAACTCCAGGATACTCTGTGTTCCAAAACCGGCTTATAATTTAGCCGCTGGCAGTGAAGCAAGTACTTCCAACGATTATTTTGGCCCGAGTCGTTAACTGTTCTCAGGTCTCTCGCTATCGTAGGTCTAGAAATGATCTCCAGGAGGACATCAATGAGAACGATATCATACTACACGCGTCATGTGTCGAGTATGCGGACCTGAAGCATTTATCAATTGAAAAGGACTGTTCCAGCGGTTGTTCATCGTGAGAACATATCCTGGCCATCCCTCCAGTTGAGGGGCCCATTTATTCGATTTCTTCGAGGGAATTCCGCCAAACAGGACCATGTGGTGCGCTAGAAATAAATTGGCGCTGCTTCTTCATTAAGGCTAGCAGTGTGTGTCAAAATAGATGAGGCAGAGGTGCATCAGCTCAAGAGGAACAGCTTATGACCCCGTACAGAGGACAAGCGGAGCTGTTTCTTCAAATGGCGATGGCTGAAAAGGGGATGCTCCAGAAAATGGATGGGAGAAGCTGACTGAAAGAGGAAAAGAACCTCTCGGCGGTATGCGTACTCAGCAGGCTGATCTGACCGCGATAATGCCCATTCCTAAATCAGCTACCGTGTGAATAATTTCTCAGCTGGATAAATATGGCGTACCGGTCTATGCTCTTACTATTAGCGGGTCCTTCGTTGCCACTACACCTTTCGGTCTAAATCACCTATCGTGGCCGGTCCAAACGGTACCTTTGATTTTGGGCATAAATATGAATGTGTTGATACCATTTCAGAGGGATGGCATTCTGAAGCATTTCTTCTCAGGATTGAGTGTTCTATTTTTGAAATCACAATCAGTCCCTGTAGAACAGCAGTGTGTCATCTTTACGAATCGGTGCAGCCAACCTTCTGCATCTCCCTCAAGCTCATTGTGATGACATTGGGGAACTCATCAATCTGTCCAAGATGTTTCCCAAAGCGTAAATTTTGGACACTTGCCGCAAACTAGTTGCATGGTCCGCAGATCGTCCTGCTCACGGTAGAGGGATTCCTCAACCCTCTCAGGTCGCCACATTTACAACTATGCAGCCCACATATATGAGATCATTAGAAAACACTGGAATTGGACTCTGCACAGCCTCGATTGGGATATCAGGGGCCGTAAGGTATGCTTCCCCGAAGGGTTAGGGGACGAAAGTTCCTTTAAAATTTTCTCTGTAGTCCCAACTGGGATTGTCCTGATAAAGGGCCTACATCTAATATATGTGTGTAGCTTAAAGTAAGCATGCATTGAAAATAAAGAAACAGTATCGTTCAAAACAAAAAATTTAAAGGGACTTTCGTCCCCGCAACATTGGGAGCAGCATCTCGGCCGTCCGACAGCCTACTAACCAAACCCATCCTCCCGACGAGACGCAGTGCTGCAGAGAAGGCGAGAAGACGCGTCCGTGATTCTACCTTCACCTTGCATAGATTGTTTATATGCCTTCTACGAGCTAAAAGAAGGTCAGCGCATGCTGTAACTTTGCAGCTCTAGTACCTGCGCCCCGCTCTGCAGAAGTTGGTCCTACCATTCGCCTTCGAATAAACTGTTCATGATCGTATCTCGGGTTCTTAGAGATCTTGATTTCCTGGTTCCAATTCTCATTAACAAATTTTTATTGAATTGTTGCCGAAGTCCGCGCTCAGTTCAATTACTCCTCGACAACTGCGCAAGTGGGGCCACCTTTTGCGCCTCAAAACATGCCAGGAACCTCGCGAGGGTCAGCAACTCAGATCGCTACTTCCATTGGTTCGTGTACACCCACCTGCCACCTGTAATCCGATGTGTGGCGACATGTGTCGTATGTGCTCTCCACGCCTCGAAGTCTTCTCTCTCTCCTAGGCTCTCATTATCTCTTATGTCGCTGTCTGCTTCCTAGGCTGCTCCTCGGAATAAAACAATGAGGATCGTATTTCTAGTGTTTTTGAGGGTTCATTTTTATCTTTTCTCAACTGTCGGCCCACTCCGTATTCCCAGTTTCGTGTTCGAGGAGTAGAACTCCATGATAGAGGAGGAGGGTGCCTTTAAGTATGGTATTCATGAACTGTGAGTTCTGGGTTACAGGCTGTTCTAAAAAAAAAAAAAATCTATTTGTCAGCTCAGGAGAGTCCAGACAGCAGCATACATGTTTTGTGATTTTCAAAGACTAAGCCTTTCAGAGGAAGGGAAGAATGCAGACTTGCTGTAAATCGCGTGCCTGCTGTGAGGAGCGCCCGACAACAACTACAAAGCGCTGTCACACCAACGCCTGTATCAGTGACAAGTGCCTTCGACGCGGAGTAGTCTTCTTCGGCGTACACCTATGGGAATTTCACGCCACTTTGGTGGAGCGCGGTATCACCTTTCTTTGAAGCCTCCTACTCGGTCGTTCAAAATCGACTATCTGAACCACACACTTTTCGCAACACGTTCCATTCAGTCAGGTTCTACAGTCATCGCGGCTTATTTCGGGCGACGATGGCCGCGATTGACACATTGCGCCCACCTTGTGTGACTCATCCCTTTGTCATGCATATCGGTTATCGGCCTAATCGGTTTGTGATTTCAGCAACGGCATATCTCCGATCGGAATGTAAACGGCCGGAAGTCATTCGTGGTACGAAACGGCCATCTGAACGAAGAGGAGTCGTAAGCAGTCAAAGTGGGCGACGTGATCCGCATGATGAGTAATCAATTCGTCGCGGTTCTTTGATCTTGGTCCAACTACAGACTGAAGGGATCTCTTAGTGACAATTTAGGCCGACCTGCTGCTGCTCTCGACATCAGAGCCTCATGGGATTTGTTACATTGAGACGATGGAGTTGGATGGCGAGACGAACTTGAAGACGAGAGGAGCCATGGCTGACACGGCCGAAATGGGAGACGATCTCGACGCTATCAGCAAGTTTGACGGTAAGTTACTTCAAAATGGATGACGCAATCCTTCTTTCTCTTCTAACAACAAGGCCAATCAGGCAACTAAACTACCCCATTCAATTTCTCTTCACTGGAATGCAATTTTCAGGAGAGATCGTCTGCGAGGCGCCGAACAACAGACTGGACAAGTTCAACGGAAAGCTATTGTATCAGGGCAGGGAACTCCCAATCACCAACGATAACATACTTTTGAGAGGATGTATCTTGAAGAACACACGGTGGTAAGTTCCCATTTCAAAGTAGCAACTCTACGATCGAACTATAAACGAAGGGCAAGGAAGCGCAAAGAATTGCGGCTTCAGAGAGAGAAGTGCTAGTTAATCCCTTAAAAACCTACCTCGCGATAAAAACTGATTCTTATGAAGGAGAGTGATGGGTAGAGGACAGGGTAGATGGGGTCCAGGTAGACGATACCTAGGGCTCTCGCAGCAGAAAGGTTATCGACAAGGTAATAAGACGCATAGAAGTGTGCTCAGTCATACCGTACCGTATGATTACAAAAAGGAAGACGTTGCAGCGGCTACAAAAGAGCCAACAGCCGCGGTTAACTCATTCAAACTCGAATGAACGGGGAGAAGAGGGCGCCGTTTCTCAGGTTTTTGACCTTTTACTTGTTTTTTTTCATAAACGCCACCCTTTTGCACCTCTTTTACATGTGAATGGATTCGGCATTTCGCGAGTTTGTTTCTGACCGTGTCCGCCGACGAGCGCGATTGCGACACGCCGCGGCTCCATTTCCTCAAACACTTGCTGTGATTTGAAATAGGGGGGGGGGCACGTGAAGCACCGCTCGTAACGACTATCCTGTCCTTCGCTTGCTTCACGTTGGAAGTAATGCTCCGCACAATTCTCCAACTTCTCTCCCCTTGCAAGCTCGGCATGACAGTTGTAAGTTTACCACGCATTTTCTTGTGCCTTACGAGGTTGTTCGGTGGAACACTTTTATAATGGCCTAACGTTTTCAGAGGCCGTCGGTTCCACCCTTCGAGCGGAAAAGTCCGCTGCCACACAGAGCGCTGATCAGTTAGAACTCTAACTCCTGAAGACGACGATTCAGTCGAAACGTTAGGCCATTAATAAAGGTTCCACCGAACAACCTCGTAAGGCACAAGAAAATTTGTTAAGCTCCGCACAATAGTTCGAGCGAGTCATGTGAGCCGCCTGAAAGCTGTTCCTAAAAATCTGCAAGGTGTGGCTGGGAAGTCGATACCATTTCCAGCGTCCATAGGGGTCGATGCACCTTCGTTGTCATATGCTACTCACTTTTAGGCAGACACGCCCATAAGATGGCTCCCTCCGCCCATATCTTACGGTTTGGAAAGACCCACATGCACACACGGAAGCATATCAAACTCCATCCCTCCCCCTCCCTTGATTATGATACATACAGTAATAGCTTTGCTACGTAAAATAGGATTTGGATCATACTATTCGAATCCACATTCACTTGCCCAGGATAGCACTGTAGTGCCCAAGATGGTGGCGACAGAAGGGATTAAGTTCTGAAAATCGGCTTTTGGCCCGCGCACAATTCGCGTGTCGTTGGAGTGTATTTGCGTAGCGGAGCAAGTATCGTTCCGGTTGTTACTAGCACTGTGGACAATAGTCTGCCACCGTTGTAAACATGTCATTGAAGTCTGGAACAGGGAGTTCGATGATCAACCTCGTGACTTGACGGAGCGTGAACCTTTTTGTTTGGTTGTTTATTGCAAGTGTGGTAAGTAAATAGAGAAAAAATACAATGCAAAATAAGTAAACACACCAATACAAATATGATGAATAAACAAAACAACAACCAGAACACTGAATATCGTAAACGTTGTCCAAACTTTAAGGGATCATTCACACTGGACAAGAAGCCGAAGAAAAAACTCTCCGAATGTGAAAGTTTTGGATGAATTTTCTAAGCCGGGCTCTGTCACTAGGCATCCGGAACCCTTGAAAGATTTTGGGGAACTCAGAGGGGTGAAATGAAATTGGATGGTCACCCCTTTGAACTCTGCGCCTCTAACGTTGATTGTGAGAATAGGGACAAGAGGGTTGATAATTCGTGAGATAATCTGTATAAGAGCCTTGAAAGAATGGGGTACCCCCAGGAGGCCCGTCGCGCGGCAAGAAGGCGGAGTCGGCGGACGCGGGCCTCCTGGGGGGTACCCGATAGAATGTAATCGACTTCGTTGAGGTATTGTTCTTCGAAAGTTTCCGGTTCGCCCAGCCACAAGTGAACTCAAGCCAAAAGTTGGACGTTTTTGCCTAACTGTAAGCTCAAGCCTCTTGCGAAAATCGAATACGATTTGTAGGCTGTGAGGGTAGAATACACCCCGTCCATGTCGAAAATGTTCGTCAAATGCGTCAATTGAGTGTTAACAACGCTTTTATCCTTACCATTAGCCTGAGAAATGACCTCAGCAGGAGAAAGGCAGAACACAATGGATTTTCTCTCCCCCTCCCCCCTTTCCACCACTTATTCCGTTTTCACCTTAGAAAAAGCTGGTTAGTGTCGGAAGCCGGCTTTAGTGTGAGAAATGCTTCAAAGTTTTCAGAAAGATTCTGTCTGCATTCTTTTGCTGTGAACGAGAGAGTCCACAGATTTGTCAGCTAATTAGGTTTGACCTGGTTTTACCTGGCCTGCTTGCAACATGCGCCTCTCAGGTAAAAAAATTGCCAACACCTGTGAAGATCCCTTTGATCAGTCTTGAACGGTAAACAGAGCTTTCTTAGGTAGCTGGCTGACAAGTTTCAGGAAAAAAGGGTGCCAGAGGGAATACCGCTGAAGCCTCTCCTACAAACCAGCCTATGTGGTAAAATAAGCTAGTAGGGAGTTTGAGGAATTCCTCTTGGCTCAACACAGTGGCTCAAATTTGTACGACATTTTTAACATTAGTAACTCCAACACTTTGAGCTATCCGAGCGATGACGTAATAAAAACCGACCGTTCTTAGTAATTTGGACTTCTTCCTTACAAGATATGAGCACTGATTTTTCTAGCAAATTTTCGTGGATGTTTGCTACGAACAAAACTTTGAAAAAGCCCGCTATTTGTTTTCGTGGAGTTGGCAAACAGACGCGATGTTTTCAAGTGAGAAGAGTTACCTGTATTGATCAAGGGATAAATTTTTCAGGTGCTATGGTCTGGTGATTTTCGCTGGAAAGGACACGAAACTGATGATGAATTCGGGAAAATCAAAATTCAAACGTACCAGTCTCGATCGGTTCCTGAACATTCTCATCATGGGGGTGAGTGCTAGTGGCGTAGTGTAATCTATCCGTTCAGATCGTGCTGTTCCTGATAGCCATGTGTTTGATTTGTACGATACTTTGCGGTGTTTGGGAATGGACCCACTGGACGATGGTTTACCATCTATTTGCCATGGGACGATATCGTACCTAATAGACAGCAGCATGGTCAGCACTAATACCTTTGCTGCCATCATATCACAGAGATATATGTACTAAATGATAGAAGATAGGATGTTGCATTCCCTGTTGATCAGTCAAGATTCAGGGTGCGCCATGCGCTTTACACCCGTTTGGAACCGCGTGTATCCTGAATCCATATTTGGCGTATGTATGCTCAGACTTGCTGGTGGCGACCGCTTAAACATTCCCAAGGCTCCTGAGAATAGTAACAAATCCTCGACTTCTGAAAGGATGAGATGGGCTTGGGCATTTGGGGGGAGAAAATCCTCGTAAATCGACCTCTACTAACCTCCCTCCCCACCAATCTTCCATCACCCCAGCGTCATAGTTGATCGGTGTGGGGACCAATACGGGAAGATGATGGCCCGGAGTACCAGCAAACAAATGGTAATAAAAATATATACAAGAAGCTTCAAGCAACAGTTGTTGGATCTTTTTTGTGAGTCCGTCTTCTGATCAGTTCTACTCAGCCAGCACCCGGATTTGCATCTCTAGCTCTTTGTTTGTGTGGTTTTCTATTAACAGTTTTTTGAACTATCATTTACTGAGGCGGAATTGGCGTACTGGTAAGTTGCGCAACCAGCCACAGGATCAGATTTCGCGAATCGAATCCAGCCCGAACCTACCAAGCCCTCCATCTCTCGAGGGTCCATAACAGCTCCCCTGTAAGACAATAATATTCATTATACTGGTATACCAACCGGCTGGCCTCATATGCACAGCCACGATTTGCAAGGAGAAAACTAGGTTTAACGGACCTTAAAAAAGCTGGATTCGAAGCCGTAACTTTATTTCTTTACAAGTTTACTCGGCCAGCCCAGCACAGTTTTGTTTAGCGTTCGGCAACAGATCGCGTCATTTCATTTCCCGATTTTTTCTGTTCCATGTGATGGTTGCTGAACACGGGTAGTGCCAATCCCTATATGTCAGGTACGTTCAACCAGACTGGCTCATCTGCCGGTTTCGCTTTTCAATGGTTAGCCTTGAAGAGTAAAACTCGGATACTTCCTGAAATTCAGTGTGGAGATCATTCGCTTCATCCATTCGATGTGGATCAATTACGATCAAGAGATGTACTACGAGAATGGCGCAAATAGCGTGCCGGCACGGGCGCATACCACCACCCTGAACGAAGAACTTGGCCAGGTTGGAAGAACGTGCCCTACCTCCGCGCAGCAGTACAGCTTGATAAGCAGTGGCATTGCAGGTGCAGTACGTCTTCAGCGACAAGACCGGAACACTCACCAGAAACATCATGACATTCAACAAGTGCACCATCAACGGCATCTGCTACGGAGACATCGTCGATGCTCGTGGAACCGTCGAAAATTAACACCGGTATGCCATTTCCCTAACCCAAAACATTGTTTTTTATATTATTTTGTTTTATACTTACTCTACCGATTGTTAGCTAGACGCTATAAAATTTGGTTTCGCTTTAATGAAAAAATAAGCAGACTCCAACTTTCGAAACACTAGAAAGGCGCTCTTATCTCAGCGGAGGTTTCACCACTGCAGAGTGCCTCGCTTCCGACTTTCCACACAGCACAACTCAGACTTCAGCTTCAGATAAGACAAATAATCGCCGAGCCAAAATCAAAGATTTTAATATTGCTTACCTGCGGCGAATCCTACATAGCTTTAAAAACGGTAGGTGGCTGTGAAGTAAAAATGAAGTGGAGTCGAAACTTAAAACAGCTCTAGTAGTTAGTGCCTCATCAGCCCATTTTTTTTTTTTTTTGGGGGAGATCCTCTCGCCGCAGCTTGTCCCAAGTTCTTCAAAGGTTTGGCATCCAGAGACCGCTGATTAGTGGCAGCCATGAAGTTAAGTCCATCGAGTTAGGGTCCGAAAGCAGATTGGGTGGTGAAATAAGAGTCTCCCAAGAATGGATAGTTGCGCAAGAATTTGAAAACCTTAAAGGCAGGCCACAACAACTGGAGGGCGTTCCGGTCTCGATGACTTCATTGAACGTCAGTGTTGGGTTCGCATTAAAATTGGGTTCAAAGCACATGCGATAAGGAGTCCAAACCCCCAACACCATCAGAAAACGTCGCCGAAACAGCATAGCCCTCCAGCTGATCATGGAACCAGCTGCCTTCACCCATTGACCTTCCGAATGAAGCTTAGCAAATTCCACAACTTGAAATGTCTTCTTTGAATGGGGGGACGGCGAGGGAAGGGGGGGAGAGAAATTGTCGCGTTAAAGTCAATTTTTTTCACCATGCAGGCGTCAGAAACGACATATTCTCGGGCCAAACATTAATTTGTCAACACATTGAGACTCGGTTCTCACAGAACCCCTCATTTCCACGAACTCGGTCCTCAAACAGGACCCCTCTCCCAAGAAGGTCCGTCAAGTTTTGATGGGACATGTGTGTCGCAATGATAGTCGAAAGATTGAAGCTTGCTGCTTCGGCGAAACAGTTCAATTTTCAAGCATCTAGTGGCTGTGGCTTCTTTGTTCCTTGTGGCTTCTTTTCTGTGTCAAATGTTTAGAAAATTTCCATTTTTCTGTTGTTTCAGAAGACGACGCCACTTGACTTTTCGTGGAATCCACATTACGAAACGGCGTTCATGTTTTACGACAAAAATCTACTGGAGGACACGCAAAAAGGTGTACCTGAAGTGAGTTCTCCAGAGGTCATTGCTGCCTTCCCCAATTTCTCAAAATCCTTTTCAAGGTGACCGAGTTTTGGCGACTACTCGCGTTGTGTCACACGGTGATGCCCGAACGAGACAAGGGTCAGCTGGTCTATCAGGCTCAGTCGCCGGACGAAGCCGCGTTGACATCAGCGGCTCGCAATTTCGGATTCGTATTCCGAGGTCGAACTCCACAATCGATTACTATCGAAGTGATGGGCAAGGAAGAGGTGCTGGTTAACTATGAGTTATATTTTGATTGGAGCCTGTCGATGAGAGGAACCCTCACTAAGCAGCTGTGGATGGGTTTCTTCACGATCAGAAAAACTTGAAGAATTGCAGAAAAACTTGAAGAATTATTCCCTCCGCAGGATTATGTCGAACAATTATACTGTTGTGGGAAACCGGTATAATAACGCGCAAGAAGTTCTGCTAATCCTTAAACCAAGAAGCGCCTTCGTTTCTGCCCATGCTGTTTTCAAACAAGGGATTTTTTTAAATTAATGAAGGAGTGGGCTCGGCTTTGATACGGTAAATAGCTGACATTAGGGCCGAGCTGATTCGAGAACCTCCAAAATGATTCACATTGGATGTTGCGGTCGGAAAGGAAAGTAGAAGGGCTAATCAGTCCAACGCGGTGATGAAAATAGAAGAATTCCCTCAAAACTTAAAACAGCACCCATTTTTTGCAACTGGTTCTAAAACATGTGCGAGTGCAATGGAGTGCGAATGAAGAAGGAAACAGAATGAGTTTCTCTATCAGTAAATATTCTATCAAACTCTGTGCAATCATAAGATTCCTGTGCTAGACGCAGATTTACTGCTGAAATTTCCAATACTTTTTTGCCATACTGTGATCAACAACAAGTCCCTCGGTTGAGCAGTTTCCATCTCGCGATAGGCGGAACTTTGGGTGCTGAGGATACTTCGTGTGCATCGCTGGACTTTAGTCTTCTTACCTAATAAATTCGTGTCCTTAAAGTGGTAGAACCGGTTGGCGTCGGGTACACGACAGGAGGCCCGTCGCGCGGCAACAACGCAGAAGCTAGCGGGATGAGTCACACTGCGTACTGT